TCATCATCTCTGTCATCATCTTCATCATCATCATCACCATCACCATCATCATCTCTATCATCATCATCATCACCATCATCATCATCATCATCATCAACATCACCATCTTCATCACCATCATCATCATCATCATCATCAACATCTTCATCATCACCATCATCATCATCTCTATCATCATCATCATCATCATCATCAACATCATCACCATCATCATCATCTTCATCATCACTATCATCATTATCATCATCATCATCATCATGAAGAAGAACAGAACTAACACATAAATACAAATGTTCCAAAAATTAATTTTCGGGTTATTTGATTTATATTGTGATATATATCGATATTGAGTGATATGAAAACAAATATTGCAATAAGATTTCTTTCCATATTGCCCAGCACTAACTGAAAGATATTCTGGTATGATATGTTGAACTAGCTTCATAGTACAGACTCAAGGAGGACACACACACACACACACAAACATATAAACACACACACTTCAACTAAAACACACACACTTCAACCTAAAAGGAACAAACACACACACAGGTATAATAGGCTGCTGCTTCTATTAGGAAAACACACAGACAGACAGACAGAAACACACACACACACACACAGACACACACACAGACACACACGCAGACAGACAGAAACACAAACACACACAAACACACACACACACACACACACACACACACAGTCTGACAGATGGAACATGCTCTTCCATATTCTGTCCCTCATAAAAAGCATTGTGGCTCAAATATCAATTACCCTCTCATCCTGGGGGGAGGAGAAGATGAGAGGAGGAGAGGAGGAGAGGAGGGGGGCAGGTATCATCTCTAATTAGATTTTCTGGTGTATTTGTCAGTGAGAACTCATTTCACAGTTTTTACCAATGAGGTGAGGAGGAGAAGGAGGAGGAGGAGAAGGAGGAGAGGATGAGGAGGAGAGGAGGTTTGGTTTTCAAAGTTATTGAGAGGAGAGAAAAAAACTTTTTTCACAACATCAAATACAAAACAAAACAAAAAGAAAAGAACAACAAAAACAAAGTCTCATTAGAAATGAATAATGAAGAAAGATAAACACGCCCCCCAACTGAAGGTCTGTATCTTGTCCATCATGTCATCAGACAGAGTCCCACCATCACTGACACAGGCTCCACTCTGCCACTGTTTTAAGATGGTTCCTGCTTGTCAGCCAAATGGCCGACTTGGCGGAACCAGAGACAAAGCTCAGCAAATTAAGTTTATTTTTCTCATCTGAAGGTGAAGATTAAGATGAAAGTGAAGAACAAGATGAAAGTGAAGATGAAGCTGAAGATTAAGGTTAAGAGGATGATGAGGGTAAAGCTGAAGATGGACATGAAGGTGTATTGGACCTGGACGAGGCAGCCTATTGATGTCACTCTGTCTTGTCCAATCAGAGGTCAATGTTTAGGGTGTGTGTGTGTGTGTGTGTGTGTGTGTGTGTGTGTGTGTGTGTGCTCTTGTACAGCTATATTTGTCAGGACCATTTTGAGCCTACAACCTACGGACCAAGAACACTTGATGATGCACAAGTGATCCCGGTCTCTCTCGCCTCTCTCTCTCTCTCTTCTCTCCCCTCTTTTCCACTCCTCGTTTCTCTCCTCCCCCCCTCTCTCTCCTCCCCCGGTGGAGGCAGATGTCTCCACACTGAGTCTGGTTCTTGAGGTTTCTCTCTGTTAATGAGGAGTTTCTCCTCCACAGTCTCAAAGTGCTGCTCATTGTTCACCTGTTGGTTTCTGTAGATGAAGAAGATCTGAAGATCTTGACCTTCTCTGTGAAGAGTCTGGAGATCATGGATGTTAGGATTTGGTGCTATACAAATAAAACTGAATTGAATTGAGTTGACTGGTCTGGTCCTCATTTTCGGACCCACCTTGGACTGTCTGGGGGTTAGGGTTAGACTTGGTTTTAGGAGTTTGGGTTAGAGATGGGCTAGGGAATGCATTATGCTAATGAGGGTCCTCACTAAGACAGAAGTACAAACATGCGTGTGTGTCATACTCAGCCGCCTGCAGAAGTCGACTTGCATGAAGAAAAGCCTCGTCTCTCTCCTCATTGGCCAACAGGAGTCGTGACATCAGAGCCTGATCTCTGTCCTTCTGAGCCGACAACACCTCTTCCAAGACAACTGAGAAGAAGAGGAGAGGAAGTGACTGTACATACAAAGGCCATCGGTGATTATACATGTACTGTATATAAAAACAATCAGTGATTATATATGTGAACCTGCAGGTCTCTCCCTGTCCTCCTTTCTCAGCTCCTCCTTCAATCTTCTTCTCTCCAGCTCCTTATCTTTTTGAAGCAGCTCCTCCTGCAACTGAAACATCAACAAAATAATGAAACAATTGATCTTTAATCTGATAATCAATTGATCAGTTTACTTCTCAGCTCCTGTGATTGTGTGTGTGTGTGTGTGTGTGTGTGTGTGTGTGTGTGTATTACCCTGTGATTGGTCCGTCTAACAGTGTCCAGCTCCTTCAGTAGAAAAGAGATGTTTTTGTCTCGATCAAAACTCTGAACTCGATCGATCATGACATCATGATGAAAACTGAGTAGAAACAAGTTTTTAAAATTACAAACTATTCAAAAACAAGTGTCAGGTGTGAAGTGTCAACAAGGAAGGAAGGAAGTATGTAGAAATAAATAAACAATCAAAGGGTTATGGTTAAATCAAATCAGACATAAAGTGTGAAGGTTCAGACTAGGGATGTCATAAAATGAAATTTTGGTGCCACGATTATTGTCCCTAACCCTAAATAGCCAATAGATAGCTAATAATATAGCTTATGACCTAAGATTTTTATTATTATCATCAACTTTATTCAGTTAGTTTTTATAGTGTAAAGTTTATCTATTTAAAAGTTATTTTTGTAAGCTATTGTATTTAGTTGCCTTTTTGTGGAAGGTTGGTCACTAAATTTGTGTTTCCTGTCATAAGTTGTGTATCTGTGTGGGAGTTTTATTTTGAAGGGTCAGCAATGGAAGTTGTTCTGTTATGGGAGCGACATTTTGACTAGTTGTGAAAAACTTAACGTGTCCTGGTTCAAGCCTCATTCTTCATGTCCTGATTATACTTTTACTTTTCAGTACAGATGAATTAAAGTCTCGGCTACATTTATAATGGTTAATAGGAAGGTGGGGGCGGTGTCAGCTGGTCAGAAACCAGAGTAAATAAGGATTTCTCCTCTCGCTGTGAACTCCTCCGATGGAGTTCTTTGTCCACCATTGGTAGAAATAAGGCCTTTACATCAGTCCCCTCTTCTCAACTAACGTTTCAGCGCACACACAAATTACGTGAGAGGCAGGACACCATAGTTAGATATCGTAGCTTTTACAATTAGTATGGTTATGAAATCATGACGTTATGAAACCGCGGTTATGTAAAAAAACGGTTAATCTTGACATCCCTAGTTCAGACGTGAAGAGTCAGGCTTGTACTATCAGGCATGAAGCGTCAAGCTCATGTCAGGTCTTCTCTATCTGGAGGATTTATTTTTTGAAGTGTTGATGCTGAATCTGCAGCAGAACTGTTGGTCAGTGAGGCTGTGATTGGTCAGGGCTGGTGTGACATCATCATGTGCATGTTTCATTAGAGTGTGACCTAAGTGTAGTGAGCTCAGGTTTTTTAACCTGAGCTGAGGTGTCACATGATCAGATATGAACGCAGCAGCTTTAATAATTCTTTCATATCACCTTAAAGGTCAGACAGCGTCTTGTTAATAAAGCAGGTAAATATGACACTGTCACTGATTCTAATCATCCTCGCTCTCTTCACGCCTCCATTGCTTTTACTCTTGTTCTATTTCAGTCTTGCTCTGACACTTCACTAATCAAATCAAATCTAAATTTAATGACGCCCAGAAAAAACCCAACGAGACAAAAGAACCAGAAACATAAATTACACAACGAGAGGAGGTTTAATAAAAGTAATAAAGTTTAATGAATGTGACGAAGAGAAGATGATGGAAAATCTATAACAACATTATCATTTAATATGTAATTATCTACAGCTGAGACGCATCAAGAGACTGTTTATCAGTATAATGTCCAGATAAAAAATCACTGACGTTAACGACACAAAACTCAAATATTCTTCTGACGTTAATGACAGAGAACAGTGGTAGTACAGTAGAAGAAGTAGTACAGTACAAGTTCAGTAGTAGTTGTACAGTAGAAGTAGTGGAGTAGTAGTACAGTGGTAGCAGCACAGTATTACAGCAGTAGTAGTACAGTATTATTAGTATTACAGTAGTAGTACAGTGGTAGTAGTAGAACATATAAGGGCCCAAGACAAGAGGCAAGAAATATAATTTGTAATTGTGAATTTAAATTTCAAGGCTCATAACAAAACATCTTTTTATCATTTGAAGAACATTTCCCTCTGAGCAACACCGAGAGACTAATGCTAATAATAGACTATTGTAATCATTTAACCTCCTTCAAAAGCACTTTCATACCTGAAGCTTATCCTAAACAAAAAAAAACATTTTGGCATCTGCATTGACGGGATTCTGACCTTCAAAGTTCATATTGATATGTTGTTGTCGAAGCTGAAAATGAAACTATGATTTCTTTTTGGGAACAAATCGTGAAGCAGTTTTTCTCTTTTTTCTGGAGTACGATGACGTTATTTATAGACGGGCATCAAGCTGCACCCTCAAACCTCTTGATGCAGTTCATCACTCTTCACTAAGATTCATTTCTGGAGATAGTTATGAGACACATCATCACCAGTTGTAAAAAACAAACTGGCCTCCCGGCTCTTTCAGTGAGGAGGGATCAGCATTTATTTATTTTTATGTTGGTTGTGACAACCATGGCTTTACCTGCAGGAGCCAAAGATTCATACAGAGCGAGGAATCCACTTTTTCTTACTGCATTACACAGGGTTAGGGTTAGACTTCATTCATTACATTGAGACAGTAAGAGAAGTATTTAACAATACTATTGCTGCTTCTAAGTACTGGTTTTATTTAAATTTTATTGTATTGTGTTTTATTATTTAGTATATTACAACTTACTTTTTAACATTGTACTTTTAATTTGTTTAAAATTGTTTTAATTGGTATAACCATGAATTGTTTTATAGCTGTTTGAATATAAATGTATTATATTCTCTGTATTGCTGTATTGCTGTACTTCGGCAACATTAAAAATGAGGGTTTCAACCCAATGTGTCTCCCAAGGTTTAAATAAATAAATGATGATAAGTTGTCCCACCTGTTGTCAGTCTCCAAGTGTTTTCTCAGAACAGGACTTCCAGGACCTCTTTGTACTCCATCTCCATCATGGGCATTTCTGCAGCTCTCTACATGAGGCGAAGGGCCTCTGCTGGGGGACACGTCCCTCTCCATCTCCCCTGAACCTACTAAAGGCCTGGAGGACAACGGAGACACAGAGCTCCTGTGGAGAGGAGGAGCTGAGAGACAGGCAGAGACAGAGACGGACAGATAGAGAGACAGACTGATCAGACTGATCTGATCTGACTGATCTGAATACAATAAGTGATCTACTTTATCTTTTTTAGATAAGTATGATGATGGTCAGACTCACCCCAAGGACACTGGTCCTGGTTCAGGTCCTGGTTCAGGTCCTGGTTCAGGTCCTGGTTCAGGTCCTCACCCTGGTCGTGTCTGTGACACAAATGAGAAACAAACTGAGGAAAAGTTGGAGGGAGAACAAGGACGGAGGTTTATCATGATGACGTTAAAACAGGAGGCGATGTCACATGAGTCACATCAACATGTTTGATTTAGGTCNATTAATGATACACAAACTATAGTCATTTCACCAAGGTATCAACATAATATATATTACCACTGATAGTATTTACATTATTTATCGAAGGTTGACATCCTGTTGCATTAAGTAAGGAAAAAATATGAGCATTTAAACATAGGCGACAGTTGGCAACAGTGACAACAGTGGATGTTAGCATATGTTAGCTATAGCCAGAGATACTAACAGTTCTGCTGCTGTTACACCCCCCACCTGCTCCTTCCTCCATGTATTTATAAAACACAACAAATGCTGCGCCTGCATCTTGGAGACTTGTTGACTTTGGTTGATGTTGGACAGAATCAAGCAAATCTTCACAGTTTCCTGTTTTTCCAAAAAATAGAGTTAATTAATAGTGAATAGTGATGTAATTATTTTTTATTATTTTTATGCTCTCCACATCAATGCACTAAGTCTTGTGTGGTAAAAAACTCTGATTATAGCCTTTACAGTATCTGGTTGGCCCCCCTGACCCCCCCTTGGCAGCACCACTACATCGTGGCGCATCGCTCGGCTCCGGTCAACAAGAGATTCTGCTCCTGTGCTCTTTTCTAGACTCTCTTGCAAATCAAACATCGACTCTGGTTTGACTCTGGTTTAAGACTGGGTTGACTTTGGTTTGACTCTAGTTTGAGATCTTTACATTTGCTAATATAGTTACATACATTTAAACATATATATCTATGTAGATATACATATACAGTATATATATATATACTTTACAGTTTATGTTTTTAATTAAATTACAAGAGACGAATTTAACAATACTATTGCTGCTTCTAAGTACTGGTTTTATTTAAATTTTATTGTATTGTGTTTTATTATTTAGTATATTACAACTTACTTTTTAACATTGTACTTTTAATTTGTTTAAAATTGTTTTAATTGGTATAACCATGAATTGTTTTATAGCTGTTTGAATATAAATGTATTATATTCTCTGTATTGCTGTATTGCTGTACTTCGGCAACATTAAAAATGAGGGTTTCAACCCAATGTGTCTCCCAAGGTTTAAATAAATAAATGATGATAAGTTGTCCCACCTGTTGTCAGTCTCCAAGTGTTTTCTCAGAACAGGACTTCCAGGACCTCTTTGTACTCCATCTCCATCATGGGCATTTCTGCAGCTCTCTACATGAGGCGAAGGGCCTCTGCTGGGGGACACGTCCCTCTCCATCTCCCCTGAACCTACTAAAGGCCTGGAGGACAACGGAGACACAGAGCTCCTGTGGAGAGGAGGAGCTGAGAGACAGGCAGAGACAGAGACGGACAGATAGAGAGACAGACTGATCAGACTGATCTGATCTGACTGATCTGAATACAATAAGTGATCTACTTTATCTTTTTTAGATAAGTATGATGATGGTCAGACTCACCCCAAGGACACTGGTCCTGGTTCAGGTCCTGGTTCAGGTCCTGGTTCAGGTCCTGGTTCAGGTCCTCACCCTGGTCGTGTCTGTGACACAAATGAGAAACAAACTGAGGAAAAGTTGGAGGGAGAACAAGGACGGAGGTTTATCATGATGACGTTAAAACAGGAGGCGATGTCACATGAGTCACATCAACATGTTTGATTTAGGTCTGACATACACATCTGGAGGTGGCGTTCCTACCTGTCAGCCAGGTGGAGGTGGCGTCTGGCAGGGGAAGGAAGACGATGTTTCAGCTCCACGTTCACTCTGGGATTAACTGAAAACAGAAAAACATTTACTTGTCTGTCTCTCACCAGGACAAGGACTGAACCAGTTTCACCTGAGGCTCATGTCAGGTCTTCGCTATCTGGAGGATTTATGAGCCTGAGGACTTTTATTTTGAAGTGTGGGGTCACCATAAGATGCTGAATCTGCAGCAGAACTGTTGGTCAGTGAGGCTGTGATTGGTCAGGACTGGTGTGACATCATCATTTATATGTTTTTTAATTAGAGTGTGACCTAAGTGTAGCGATAAAAGGTTTTGATCTTTAAAGTTATAAAAACTTCTATTAGTCCTGAACGTGAACCAGAATCTGCAGATTACAGCTACTGCTGTATTCTCCAGGTCCAGGCTCTGATCCTAGTTCTGCTGTTGTACAGTAATTGAATAATTTCCTATTTGATCCTTTTCACTTTGAAACTTTTCCCATTTCCTGTCGTCCTCTGCCTCCCACATCCTCCCCTGTCCTCCCCCATCCTCCCCCATCTCAGATCTTCTTGTGGACTCAGAGCTAATTGTGCGCGGCGGCTCTTCTTATTATTCATGTACAATTACAGATGTGATAATGTGTTTAAATCCTTCTAAATGACCGTTCATGCCTCGCACTCTCTTTGAAGTCTCGACAAAGATGAAAAATCTGCAGAAAAAGAGAAAATTCAAAGGCCAATCAGAGGTCCAAACTATGGGAGGGGGAGATGGGGGGCGGAGTGTCCCCCCCCCCCTGTTCTTCATGTACTTTAAACTAAAGTCCATTAATTTTTTAAGCTGTATTTAATACATTTTGTGCAGAAACTTTGGTGCAGTGAGTGTGGGGGGGGTTTCCAGCTGACTGCATGAATATTAATGACGGTGTTACGATGATTAAAGAGGCTTCAGCTCAAATCCAACACAATCCGCCTGTGATCCGGCCGCCGACACCACGCCGCCGCCAAGCCGGCACATGAATTTAGATACCGACATTAAGCCAGGGAGAGACGCAACTTTTACAGGACACACACACTCGCCAACACACATGTGTATGTATCTTTGAGAGAGATATTAATACACAGGGACGTACAGTAAATACTGATGTACAACAAACATCTACACGAAAAGAGTCAATCTGAGCTTTTGTCAAACAAACTTCATTAACAAACAGTTTAATCTCAATGAAACTGTTTATTTCACTCTGGTCTGACTCAGTTTGACTCTGGTCTGACTCTGGTTTGAGGCTAGCTTGATTCTAGTTTGAGTCTATTCTACTCTGATTTGACTTTGGTAGGACTCTGGTTTGAGTCGGGTTTGATTCCAGTTTGACTCTGGTTTCAATCTGGTTTGACTGGGGTTGGACTCAGGTTTGAGTCTACTTAAACTCTGATTTGACTCAGGTTGGACTCAGGTTTGACTCTACTTAAACTCTGTTTTAACTCTGGTTTCAATCTGGTTTGACTGGGGTTTGACTCCGGTTTGAGTCAGGTCAGCAATCAGGGAACCGTTGGCTATGACATGGAGGTCTGTGTAACCCTCCAAGGATCTGCCTCCTCAGACCATCAGTGATCCACCACCAAATTGGTCGTGCTGGATGATGTTACAGCAGCGTCACGTTCACTGAAGTATAACTAAGTATTATAGTATT